ATGTGATAAAACACGACTACAACTGCAGCTTTAAATAGCTTCAAAAACGACTCATCTTATACGAGTTCATTGGCGAAGTAATTTTTAAAATAAACTTTGTCTAAACTGAGAAAATCAAAGCTAAAGTTTATGTAAATTAACGTGATATTTTATCACATATAAAACCACAACACGCTTATGATTTTTCTTTGTGTTTTGCTCCTGAATTATTAATGAGCTTTTGAAATATATATATATATATATATATATATATATATATATATATATATATATATATATATATATATATATATATATATAAATATATATATATATATATATATATATAAATATATAGACAAGTATCGAGTTTGGAATCATATATGAGTAGAGTGCTCAATACCGTAGTATAGAGCTGATAAGATTAGAAGACAAACTTGAATTACTTCATATGAACTTTATTTCACTACAAATTTGTTTCGTATGACAAGACGAGTCTTGCCACACTCATCAGGTGAATTTAAATAACGCGCTATGTTGTTGCCTAGGATATACTATGTACATGTTTGAGGTCAAAAGTGTTATATTACAGTGTTATTTATAATCTATTTATTGCTCAACAGGAATTTGTTCCGGTGTCTACATTTTGACAATAGTTCATTTCTAGAGTTCAAGGAGCTGAGTTTAGGATAATAAATAATTAGAAATTTTTCGTGCAGGCATAAGTTGCATCGTTTGGCTTTGTTTGAGTAGCTTTTACACTTTTTCACAATTCTCCATTTAATGGAGTATTTTACGCTAGATTCTTTCAAATGCCAGACATATTTACTTAGTTCAGTAGCATGTTTGTATCTGGAGTTTCTGAAGGAACTGGTGTGACCATTGTACCTTGTTTTGAATTTCCCTTCTGTGTGTCCTACATAGGTCTTTTCCTCTTTTGTATCGTTTCTAGTCACATGCAGTTGCTTGATAAACAATGCTGCTTGTTAAGCATTTACTGGAGAGAGGACAGGAATCTTTCTTACGGCAATTGCACTCACTACTCTTTTCAGACGTTTGATTCTTAGTTGTTTCAGCTTTGTCTTGTTTGTTGAGTACTTTCTTGTTATGACCAGAGACAATACAATGAACGTTAGGCATGCAGCTGTAGCTTAATTTCAAAGTGTTTCGATTAAATATCTTGTGTAGAGGGTGGTTAGGAGGAAAGGAATCGTCGATGGCTTGAAGAAACTTGTATCCAATGTTGGTGATGACATCGGAGTTGTATGGGGGGTTGAACCATATTATATTTCTGCTTCTATATCGTTTAGGTTTGGGTGGTTGGGGATTGTAATCAAGCTTGTAGTCGTAACCGCTTTTTTGTAGTGCTTCTTGATATGGGGGAATGGCGGAATCAAATGATTGCTTATCGGATGATATGTTGGATAGTCTATTGTTTATGGCTTGCGGTATTGATCGTAATATTGATGGTTTACGTATTGCGGTGTGTTTCCGGGTTTCATGTAAGGCTTGTATGATGCGGATCGTAGGTCAAGTGTGATGTCTAGGTAGTTCACTGTTAATTTCGAGGAGTCAAATTGACTCCAAAAGTGGAGTAAATAAAAAAGGTACAGAACGACTCCTTTTTTGGAGTAAATTTTACTCCTTTATTTACTCCATTTTTGGAGTAAATTTTACTCCATAAGTAGAGTTGTTTTTACTCCTCAAAGAGTAAAAACAACTCTGCTTAAGGAGTAAAATTTACACCAAAAATGGAGTAAATAAAGGAGTAAAATTTACTCCAAAAAAGGAGTCGTTCTGTACCTTTTTTATTTACTCCACTTTTGGAGTCAATTCGACTCCTTTGGAGACAAAATGACTTCTATATATCGGAGTAAAGAAAAGTCTTTAGCTAACTTTAGAAATCAATAAAGACATTTTTCGAGTCAAAATAATTTATTATCCCTACAAGTAAGGTATATTATAGCAGGAAATACAATTTGCTGTAGCATAATATAATGAAATACTCTTACGCCCTATAATATTTTAATGAAGTTCTAAATTGATTAGAATGATATCATGAATACATTATCAGAATGATATCACGAATACATGTGCAATACAATTACAAGCCTGTCAGCATGAATTGAACCTGCAGCCCTGCAATTCTACCGCAGCCCTCTGACCTAAAGAGACCTTTTGCTTAAAAAGTTGATCAGAATCACCTGTAGGGCAGTAGGTTCCATTCCCAGCACAGTACCGGCTATTACATAGTTATCGTTCAAAAAATTTACATTTACAGAAAAGCTTTAACCCATTAAGTGGCAGCACTCTCTCCTTAATGAGCAAAAATTGTCTGACCACATTTGACAGAAAAAATAAAAAAGTAAAGCAAATTGCCACTTAAAGGGTTAATATTCTGTTCAATGTCGAATCTTTACAAGTAAAATATACTGCATGTATTAAATGTATGTAGTGTCACTTCTCAATCAAACATGTCAAGCAAGTCCATTAGTAAAAATTTAGTACAAAACAAGCTGTATACCACAAGTCGGCAACTCCATCCCTTGCATGGTTTGGTAATTCACAAAAATGCTCTCCAGCAAAAGAATAACATTTTCCAAATAGACCATGAACTTCTTAGAAATTGTAAAAATTATATTTATATATATATATATATATATATATATATATATATATATATATATATATATATATATATATATATATATATATATATATATATATATATATATATATATATATATATAGTAGTAGGCTTCAGGAATTGAAAGGGTTTCTGGTTAAAAGGGGCTATAATAGCGAATTTGTAGAGAGTCAGTTTAAGAGGGTAAGGTTTTTGGATCGGTCGGCATTATTTAAACGGGGAAGTGAGCAAACTAGAAGAGAAAATAATAAGAGTACCTTTATCATAGATTATCACCCAGCATTGCGGGAAATTTATGGAATTTTTAGGGAATTGCAAAATATTGTAGGCTTATCTAGCAAGTTCTTAAGTGTCATGCCAGAGCCACCTATGGTGTGTTTTAGGAGATCCAAAAACCTTAAAGACCATCTTGTTCGGGCTAAATTGTATAAGCTTGAGGTTGCAGCTAGAGGGATGGTTAAATGTGGGGGGAAAAAGTGCAAGGTTTGTGATTCCATCGTGGTAGCGGATACTTTTCAAAGTAGAGTACAACGGCGCACGTTTCACATTAACCATCACTTTGATTGTAACTCTCAGGGGGTGGTTTATTTAATTACTTGCGGAAAATGTAATAATACGGTAACGTCATTTCGTCTTAGATTTAATAACCACAAGAGTTCGCTTAATAGATTTTCTAAGGGCCAAAGAGGTTTATGTGGTCAACATTTGTATAAACATTTTTTTGAGGAGGGCCATTCGGGTCTTAATGATTTTAAAGCACAGATTATTGATATCACGGATGTTAATAAACCTACAGAGAGGGAAAGTTTTTGGATTGAAAAATTGAATACATATGTACCACTGGGATTAAATTTGAGGGAGGAATATTAATGCAAGTCTATATATATTATTAGTGTATGTTAATTAGGATTAGGCCAAAGGTATTTAAGGACATGGATTTGAACTTATCTCGTTTCTGACGAAGGGGCTGTGCCCCGAAACGTATCTTTATCTTTACAACATGTATTTATTCATTTAAAGTTTAATAAAATTTATTTTCTATTTGAAGCTTTATATAAATGAAGTTTTTTGGGAGGCTAGTGATATTTATATATATATATATATATATATATATATATATATATATATATATATATATATATATATATATATATATATATATATATATATATATATATATATATATATAGGTTATCATATAAGGGATGAGGTGATATCAGTTTTATCGCTCGAGGGATGATATCGTGATATCATCCCGAGAGCGATAAAACTGTGATATCGTCCCGATATGATTGTGATATCGTCCCGAGAGCGATAAAACTGATATCACCGAATCCCGAGTACGATAACCTATTTATTATATACTTGTACCTTTATCAGGGTTAGAAGTCTAACTCAAAAGTAGCAGTTTTGAAAAAATAGGATCATTTTAAAATTCAAAACATTTCATCATTTTGAACAAATATGATTTTAGAAAATAAATAAACCATTCATATAAATAATATACAATTTAAAATATAGTATAATTTAACTTATAAACAAAATTTTTCAACAGTATAGAAAAGTCAGATGTAACTTGAGATCAACAAACATTGAAAAACTTATCTGGCAAGTCAATCATCATCTGAATCTGATTGAAGTATAACTCTTTTCCGTTTTTCTGCTTGAATGTTGGTTGTCGAGGACCATGTTGGTAACAATGTGGATGACTGGCAGGCATTTACAGTGATGTTGAAAGTTCCACCAGAAATAGCAGAACCTGACAAGAGGCCTGATAAACCACTTCCTGGAGTAGAAGAATCATTTGCCTTGTTGTTATCACTACCAGAAAGTATACCACTCATTCTTCTCATGCGATCATTAGAAAGCTCATCATATGTGTTGAGACTCATCAAATTGTTATGCCCGGTCACCTAAAATATAAATACTTGACTTAGCGCTTTAGTTATAATAACTGAATATTAGTAAACGCCTTTGATTAGAAAGTCATAACACAGCTGTCTTTCTGTACTATATGAACATTTGAAATTTATTTAAATACACAATAAGGCAGGTGTTATAGGTAAGATTTTGCAGAGCTTGTAGGCCCTATATACATCAGATAAGTCGATAAAAATATAAATATTGTACCTGGATAATATCTGTATCAGGAATGTGGTTTTCCTTCAACTTCTTCACCATTGTCTTCCTTGCTGAGTGGTTAGAGAGTTTTTGTTCTTCATCTCGTATTCCAGCATTTCTACACATATTTTTCAATAGATTGTTGATGGTGTTCTTGCCCATTGGTTGTTTGGTAAACCAGATACTTGGGTGTTTGGTGTGATCAATCCCAAGGTAGAATGGTGAATCAGGGGTGCATGCCTCTGGTGGTCGCTTTTCTGCAAACCTCTTGTAGGCTAAAATGGGGTCACGCTTTCGATCATTACATGGCCACATGGTGGGCTTTACCTTTCGTAAGTCACGGGGATTTTCTCCAGATCTTGTTTTCGTCTGGCGCTCAGTATATTCAAGAAACTCGAGGCCAGAAGTATCCATTCTAAGGCGTATGTCTCCCCAGCGAACATCTCGATTTTCTCGGCAGCCTCGCAACCCAAAATGTGTGGTGTTTTTCCACCAAAGCATGTTGACAAGTGCCCGGGCACTGTGCGTTCCAAATTCTCCTCTCTCGTACAATAAATCGACTTCTTCGTCAGACAATGAGTGGGCAGCATTCGGTTTGCTTCCTTTACCAAGGCTTTTAAGCTCTTTTTGTTTCGCTTTAAGGGCTTCTCTTGTCTTATTAAAGCAAGGTGATTCTATTATCTGTTCAGGATAATCTTTTTCTTTTAAGTGGCGGTTAAAAGAAGCAAATATACTTCGCAATGACAAGGGCTCGTACTCGCTGCCGTCTGCCGAAAGTACAGCAGCAAAAAACTCTGACATGTACAAATCCAATCTTCTTGGCTCTATTGTCTCAACATCTTCGTCGGTATTCTGAACTTCTTGCAAAAATTGTTTAAACAAACTTAGATCACATTTTGTCTTTCGTTTTGTATTGTCGTTCTTGTTTTCCTCGATAAAACTGTCGACATCAACCGACACGAACCTCGAGTCGGCCATCTTTGTTTTGACAAGGCGCGAAATCTAGCGGGACAAAAAACGATATCCGGGACAAAAAAGATATCAGGGATAAAAAAACGATATCCGGGACGATATCGTTTCTATGTCCCGCTGCTTCCTACCTGATAAAGGTACAAGTATGTGATAAATATATATATATAGCCTAAATATATATATATATATATATATATATATATATATATATATATATATATATATATATATATATATATATATATATATATATATATATATATACTGTAAATTTCAGGGAGTAAATTTAACTCCAGTGGTATTATTCTGAACCAAATTTTACTCCACATTTGGAATTAATCGAGGTACAGTATAACTCCACCGGAGTTAAATTAACTCCCCGAAATTAACAGTGTATATATATATATATATAATCTCGTGTTTGGTGTCACACACATGTTCTGCTAAATCTGACGCCCCTTTTTAAGTTGAGGCAGCCTTCTGATGTTTTTTTGGGCTTGTGCCAAACTAGCGTTTAAAATGACCCATGCAGATACTCTTTAATTCTCAAAATCACCGCATAGTGCCGGGTGCCCCCCAAAAAACTTGCGGTGTTTGATTTCATGTAATGTAAAAACCATAAAAGCTATTACACTCAAATAATTTTTATTGTATTGAGGAAAGGCTAACTTAGATCTTGATATACAGCCCTAAAAATTTCATGTAATATTACGTGAGATACAAACGTTTGAATGTGGCGCAAGATTTAAAAATGAGTAAAAATCGAAAACATGGCTGATCAAATTTATATGAAAACAAATTGCCTTTTTCCACGAAAATTAACAATTCACAATTTCAATTTCAGCATTTCAACTTAACTTTCATTTCGGGTAATGTCCTGTAGTATAAGTTAACCTTTTGTGTTTCTTGGGAAGCAAAATAAGTATGAAACATTTAAAAACGTTCGAAAGCTTATTTGATATCCTTTGCAGACAGTTCGTATTATAAAGTTGGCCATCGTTCGCCTTTCGAATATGCCTCGATTAACAAAAGATCAAAGAGGGTATTATGGTTTCCCATGCAAGACATTGTATACGTGAAAACGCTAGGACATCTTTCTATATGATGAATGAATAAATGTTTATCCAACAATTATGTTTTTCATTCGTTCTTTTGGCCACAATAAAGCTATATATAATCAACTTTAACCAAATATTATTTGATAGGCAATTTTATGCAAATTTTTAACATTGTCAAATATGCTTATTCGATTTAAAACATCGATAGTTCAGTAAATATTGCGCGGATATTCAAATGTTATATATCAAAATCTAAGTTAGCCCTTTCTGAATAGTATAACTTATTTGAGTGCAATAGCTTTTATAGTTTTTGTGTTACTAACATTAAATCAAACAGCGCAAGTTTTTTTGGTATTAATAATATAGAAAAAAGTTAAAAATAATTTTTCTAAAAAGAATCTTAAAAGACTCTCTTGATTGGTTTTGTGACACCTCGAATGCATGGAACAATACTGCATAATCTATATATATAGGAGATCTAGATTGCTGACGCATACCTAGCGCAGGTGGGGGCCTACATGCAGGGGCGGCGGAAAGTCGATAATTGGGGGGGCTGATATTCATATATTCATGTTCTGCATCATTTATTTCCTTTGAAAGCGATTGTTTTTACAGTCTGTGAACACGAATATATGAATATCAGCCCCCCCAATTATCGACTTTCCGCCGCCCCTGCCTACATGATAAATCCAAGATGGCGGTACAAGAGGGCAGAAAGACTATATACATTCGATTATGCAAATCAGGATTTTTTGTAGTGTTTGCTGTCGCATTGTTTCGAAACTTATTCAATCAGGTTTTATGGTAAAGAGATACTTACCGCGAAGATTTTGAGCATATATATGATTGAATTGGATGAAAACTCGCAAAATTATCCATCGATAAAAGTTCGTGTGAAATGGTCACTTGGTCAGTTCGAACGTTTCATTGCCAGAAATCCTGTGCTATGTTAACATCTAGCCTCGTGAATGGTGTTTTATACTTGCAACAAACATTGTGAAAGCAATATAGAGAAATAGCATGAGAAATAATTGTGGTAGTCGTATTCGTTCAGGTCAAGAATGCCCAAGACTTGGAATCATGAAATGGAATATTGTATTTATACTGTCCAGTCAAGATTGTTTAGTCTATTTTGAATGGATTTATGTTTTTACGTCTTTTATAGATAAGTATCCGATAGCTGATATTTTGGGATAAATATCCATGCTTACGACAGTAACTATATTCTTTTTCAGTATAAAATTATAATTGTGTTATTGTACCTGTCATTTAGCTAATTGCCACTTTTTTTTGTATTTTTCAGTATTCATAATACTTAACTGGAATTGTATTTTATTATAACATTTGAGTTGGCATATTATATTTCAATTATGTAAATATGTGATCTAGGGAATAGGGGCCTTAACTGGTAGCCGGGCCCCAGCTGGGCCGCTGGCCCCAGTTCTTGTAAATACAAAATTTTCTTTGATTTGCTTTTTGGACAAAATAAATAAATAGTGTGGCAAGCAAAAAATATTACTTATTTTTATTTATGCAGATTATACAGTATGCATGTGTAAAATCATATTTCTTAGTTCAAACAAGTTTGATGGATATAGCCTATATTTGTTGAAGTGCAGGGGCCGGTTGTACGAAAGGTGGATAAGTCGCTATCCAGCGGATAAATTTTATCCGGAGTGAAAATCGCGTTGTACGAAGCTTGGATAGCGCTATCCAACGGATAAAATGCACTATTCGTTGGATAAATTTATCCGAGGTCCGGAGGTAGTTTAAATCCACTATCAGGCGGATAAACTCGAAGTTTGAAGACAAAACAATGTTATTTAATTTAAAAAGGATTGCTATTGTGATAGAAATGGACAAATACCGTTTAGAAGTCCCTTTCTTGACACTATAAAATAAACATGGAAACTTACTTATGACTTCTCTTGCTCTTGACGTACCGAGCTCACTTTGAGTCACTTGCCCATTTAATAATGCCATGATTTTGCCATATTTTATGCAGACCTGTGTCAGTGCTTATAGACGTTACGTTTTCTGGCTTTTTCCCTTCGTTTTTTCTGTTATATAGCTCGAAAACAAGCAATAAATCTTTCATTAAATGAGTTTCCTTCAACGCCAAACAAATATAGCTGCATATAAGTAGACAACAAGGCAGTAAGGCACCGAAAGTCGAAAAATTTTGTTCGCTGGCCTTGATCAGCCAATCAAATCTTGCGAGAAAATGTTCTTAAAATTGTTTTGAATGACGTGAAAGGTCAAAGAACAAATATTCGGACAGTATATAAAATAAAACTGAATCAACATACTGAAACAAGAAAACAAAGCTAGCAGTCTTTGCTATTGCCTTCGCATAAAGAAGCCAAAAATCTTTTAAAGAAATGTCGATAAGTAGATAGCAAACTCTTCACTGTGGGAAAACGAAGTATTGCAACGATTGGACGAGAAAAACTCCAAAATATAAACATGCATGAACAACAAACCTTTATTGCAAGTTGATAGTTCAAAGGTTAGAGGAATTCACAAGTTATACGAAGACACTACAAATACCTAGCAACAGCTGACGTAGAGATAAGAAATTTCAGGAAAATCCGGTTTTCTCCGGTTAAAATTAAAAATTATCCGACTGATAGCTATCCACCGTACGTGCTATCCGTGCTTCGTACAACGCATTTTTATTCGGCAGATAGCTATCCATTGGATAGAAGATTTATCCATTGGATAGGACTTATCCACTGGATAACTTATCCACCTTTCGTACAACCGGTCCCAGTATTGTATAATATTTTAGAACATAAGGAGTTGTTCAATTATATATAAGCTCTTTTTTAACTGACCTGCCCCCATTGTCATCACATCATCTGCTCCATCCCCATAATTGAACAATGAACTGTTATGTGTACACTTCCCACACCCTTGCTTGTTAGAGAAGAAAACTGACGAGGGCTCTGAATGAGGGTATCATCTATGGTCTGTTATAATTTGCTTTTTATGCAAATAGTGAGCAAAAAAGCAAAACTGTACAAGTTACATATATTGCTATATATAATATTGTTTAACACCATGGCCATGATACTAGAAATTTGTTTATTAAAGTTGCATTACATTGTTTCTACAATGAAAGAAATACATGATGTGTTCTGCCACCCTCCCCCTATATGTAATGAGCAGGCCCTTCCTGACTATGGCAATGACATACCATGCAGTAGCAGTCCTTAATTAACATTGTTTCACAATAATCTTATCATATTTTCACTAAAATGCTATGAAATATTTAACTAAATTTTGAATGAGTTAATGTTCAAGTATTAAAAGACAGATCTGGCCACAGCCTAGACCTAGGCCTTCTATTTTTATTATTTTTTTAATATTCCGCGCTTTTTACATGAAAAGACTGGGACTAGGTGATTTGGGGGCTGGGCAGAGGATGGACGCAAGCGAAAAAATTGAAGGCCTAGCAGATTTCCCAATCCGAGTGCCAAAAACTGCCCCGAATTTGCCCCACTTGGATATGCCTAATTATTACGTTCTCAAACAAAATTATTTGCAACTTTTGTAACAGCGAACCTAAACAGATACAGGTAAAATAAACTCATTTATAGTATAAGGCCATATAAAATAAATTCCTTGATTCTCATCGCTAAATTTTAAAAACTCCCAGGAGGCGGGAGGTTTATATTTTATATTTTATGTCAAAATATAAAAAGAAGTTTAAAATTTAAAAAATTGGAGAGGGAGGTCTTTTTATATTTGCCCTTTTAAATATGTTATAGTAGAACGCTATATAAGTGGATAATTGCACATGCGCTAATGAATGCATAAGGGTCCACACAAATCGTTGTATTCCAAGCATCTCTTAACATGTTGCAATGTTAACGGTAAAACAATTTTATATCGCAAAAATTCCAATATAAAATATAAAAATAACTAAATCTCTGAAGATACTCGTTCGGGCGGTAAAGTTATATTTTATAACAAAATACAAAAATATATCAACACGGAAACCAAAATATCGTCGGGCGGTGATGAGAATCAAGGAATTTATTTTATATGGCCTAAAATTACTATTTTTATCTGTATACACGT